ACAATCTCATTATCCCCAATGTTCATGTTAGACTTGGGAACAAGATTTGTCATAAATTTTGATTTCTTTACGTTAATATTTAGCCCGACTCTTGCACACACCTCCTTTAAGTCGTTCACCATTAGTTTCATCTCTCTAAGGCTATCCAAAATAAGAACTATATCGTCCGCGTAGCGTAAATTACTTAGGTATTTGCCATCAATGTTTATGCCTTTTTGGGTCCAATCCGGTTGTTTAAATGCATTCTCCAGGACTGTGATGAACAATTTGGGTTCAATATTGTATCGCCTTGTTTTACTCACAATCAGTAAGTTTATGCAATTTTGCCGTCATCGTAGCATTCTTGTAGATGTTATAAACAAGTTTGGTGTATCGATAATCGACTCTGCATTCTTGAAGTGCTTGCATTTAAATTAAATTTTATAAATACCTTTAAATACCCATCTTGGGTAAATACCCCCGAGTATATATCCAGGAAATGTACCCTTGAAAATAAATATCCAGGTATTTAACAACACTGTCACGAAGTCATTCAAATGTCTTTGAAAGAAAAGATGAGAGACTAATGGGGTCATACACACTTATTAAATTTAGAGAAAATTTTTTCATAAATCGATATATGTAAGTATATGTATGAACACAAAGTAAACGAAATATAACGGTAACTATATTTTTATACAAACTTTCAGAAAATATAATAAAAAAAAAAATCGTATATGACCCCATTGGTCGAAAGGCTTTAGGCTCGTTTGGGTCCTTTTTTCCATTCTTCGGTATAAAGGTTATTGTAACCCTCCTCCAGCTGATGGTGACATAGTTAAAGGCTAAACAAGCTCTAAAAACCCTCACCAAGTATGTTTTCATATCCTCTAGGCTCCATTGAAGAAGAGCAGGAAAGATACCATCGGGTCGGGGTGTTTTGAAGGGCTCAAAACTCTATCAATTCGTTGTGTATAACCTGGCTGGCTACCTGCCAGAGGAAAGTTGTTTAGTTCCACTTGGTGTGAAAGTGTTGAAAAATTTTGCAGAGAACCTGAAAAATTCTGGATCCTTTGCAAAACTGCCGTCGTTCTTTTTTATAAATTGTCACATTTAACATTAAAAAATAACTTAAAAATAAAAAGAGATTGACTAAAATATTTAGATCATAAAACTTCAATCAAATATGTACATAAAATAAAAAAATAATAATCTTCATAAAATCTTCATAAAATAATCTTCTTTGTTCTTTTCAATATACTTGGCGCCGTAGACAACATCGGTGACAATGAGCAACTATCTTTTGCAACTATCCAATGAGCAATTTAGACTTATAGGCATGTTTAATTGCTAAGCACCAAACTATGGCTACGTGAGCTACCGTGGGTCTTATCACAGACGTATGGATTCACATTGTAACCCTCGGATTTAGTCTCAAAGTGTTCCTCCAGCTAATGGGGACATGGTTAAAGGCTAAACAAGCTCTAAAAACCCTCACCAAGTATGTTTTCATATCCTCTAGGCTCCATTGAAGAAGAGCAGGAAAGATACCATCGGGTCGGGGTGTTTTGAAGGGCTCAAAACTCTATCAATTCGTTGTGTATAACCTGGCTGGCTACCTGCCAGAGGAAAGTTGTTTAGTTCCACTTGGTGTGAAAGTGTTGAAAAATTTTGCAGAGAACCTGAAAAATTCTGGATCCTTTGCAAAACTGCCGTCGTTCTTTTTTATAAATTGTCACATTTAACATTAAAAAATAACTTAAAAATAAAAAGAGATTGACTAAAATATTTAGATCATAAAACTTCAATCAAATATGTACATAAAATAAAAAAATAATAATCTTCATAAAATCTTCATAAAATAATCTTCTTTGTTCTTTTCAATATACTTGGCGCCGTAGACAACATCGGTGACAATGAGTAACTATCTTTTGCAACTATCCAATGAGCAATTTAGACTTATAGGCATGTTTAATTGCTAAGCACCAAACTATGGCTACGTGAGCTACCGTGGGTCTTATCACAGACGTATGGATTCACATTGTAACCCTCGGATTTAGTCTCAAAGTGTTCCTCCAGCTAATGGGGACATGGTTAAAGGCTAAACAAGCTCTAAAAACCCTCACCAAGTATGTTTTCATATCCTCTAGGCTCCATTGAAGAAGAGCAGGAAAGATACCATCGGGTCGGGGTGTTTTGAAGGGCTCAAAACTCTATCAATTCGTTGTGTATAACCTGGCTGGCTACCTGCCAGAGGAAAGTTGTTTAGTTCCACTTGGTGTGAAAGTGTTGAAAAATTTTGCAGAGAACCTGAAAAATTCTGGATCCTTTGCAAAACT